CCTAAAATCTGTAATAACGATAAGGACTGCAGTGTCTGGAATAGACAAGAGTTATGTTGCGATATTTTCGGATCAAAAAGTTGTGTCTCAGGTATGCAGAAACCCTTAGAAGAAAGTTCTCATGCACGTAAGTAACTTTAATTTCAATTACCATATTTATGCATTTCTTTATTTATAAATAATAAAATAAAATAATTCCATTTGCAGCCATATTGGGTATCATACCACGTAAATGCCCCACTCGTCCTCTAGCTGAATTATGGTGGTCCGTGCAAGAATGTCAAACCGATATGGATTGTTGGCCGCGTGTATGTTGCCCAGATGGACAAAAACGTTATTGTCGAACTTCACAACCTGAATTAGAGATTGCACCCGTACCGGTCAAACGTTCTTTCAATTACTGTAAGTAGTTTGCAGTTCTTATTAGATGACTAAGATTTAGATTTTATTGTGAATGCTTTCTTTGACAGTGTCAGAATATCTTGAATGTACACCACCTCCACCACCGATATTTGATTTACATCCTAAAGCTTGCACGTCTACTTTGGACTGTTTTCCGAATGTTTGCTGTCAAGAGGCTGGCCTACGTCACTGTCGACCACCAAAGAAATCTGTGCTTACTTTAATGGCCAATTTCTTGAATGTTGGCTTTGTACAGCGATTGGCCCAAAATATTGTAATTAAGTGATATTGTTCTAATTATTTTTTTAAAACCTAATTATTAAAAAGTGGATATGTTACTATTTGTATACTGTTTGTTAGTCGTCTGTAAATGAACTTATCTTGTTATGATTTGTATATATTGAAAAATTCGGTGATATATATTTAAAGCTTTGCTCAAATTCTGTAAATATTTATTAAAAAAAAAATAGAAAATTAAATATATAAGTACATTTTTATAAATATATATACATATGTGTAGTTTGATATAATATTATATATATGTATTGTAGTTAACTAAGACTTAGTAATATAATTTGTGGTTTTAAGCAAACGTCGCAATTAAGAATTAGCACAATAGGTCACCTGAGTTGCAGTGCATTGTTTTCCATACAATGATAAATATAATATATAATAAATGTAATAATTTGATGTACATTATAGATAAAAATTAGTCTCAGCTTAAAAGTCAGACAGAGTATTGCAGATTCCAAACAATACCAAAACATCTAAATGTAATAATTTTTTACAATATATCTAATCTACATTAAGAATATCATTGCGACAGTAAGTTCGAAGAGTTAGTATTAAATATAATCATATTATTTAAGAATAATAAGTAGAGTCACCTAATCTGTAATCATTTTTTAGATTGCAAGTACCAAGGATTGAATCGTACCCTGCCAAAGTTGAAGCTCAGAATCAGTATTCATTAGCTAACTGATGAATGACATTTATTGAAATTTATTCAAAAATTATATTTTAATATTTAAGATTTTTATGTTAAAATTGCAAAAGGTTGCATTTTATTAAATGTTGTAAAACAGTTATTCATAGTTCAATAGACCTAACTCATTTAAAAGGTTCAGTTGTTTCTGTGGTATATTTTAAACGTTTGTAACTTCATTATTGGTATTATTGACACTCTCGATATTTTTTATAAAATCTAAAAGTTAGTTTTATGAGTTCTATTTATACATACTAACAACATTATATCTGGGGCTATGATCCAGCTATGAGCAGATAATCAAAAACCTACAAGATATTATTTATAATTTACTGTAGAGTTCATTTTTAATTCACTGTAGAGTTCATTTATAAATTATTATAGAAATTCATTCTACTAAACTTTTAGATTAAATAGATTTAATATTGAAAGTGGTATTTCCAATTTTTCAATACAGCACAATACACGTATACGGAATAGTAATTTATCTTATAATACAATCGAATATCTTTAAAAAAAAATATTAACTTCAAACCATTATAATATATTGTACCAAATATATTTCAGTACAAAGTCAAGTCATGTAAAGTCATATAAATCCTGGTAAATGACTACGTATTTAAATGAACTATTTTTGAGATATTGATTTCTTGACAGAACATTTTTTCGGTTACCTCTTTGACAACTTATTTCTTACTATCCCCCTATATCTAATCCTGTTTTACACATGTTTTGGGTTTTTTGAACCCAATGATGACGATGATTTCTTTATAATTCGTCTCTTGCATTAATACCCTCTTGATTAGAAACAATTTATTTGTATATGATTAGTACTCAACTAGGTAATCTATGACAGTACGGCTTGTTTATAGTTTTTGCAATTTTTTCAAAAAGCATTCAAACATAACGTTAGAAGGGACTCATATCTTTTCGCTATGGTTATTATTATATATAATAGAAGAGTATTGCCACCAGCTCAGTAGACAAAGGCTGTACTAAATTATTTAGTTTTTGGGCTATAAGACAACTCACGTAGCTACAGTGTTATATACATTATCATTTCACTGGTTAGTAATACCGCTCTTTCTAAGGTGGATAATATCCACCTTACAAAACATATACCATATAACAGTATTTTCTACTTTTTGTAAGTAAAAAACTGTTGATATATTAATATATTACATATTTTCAGTGATAATTTTATTTATATACTCACAATATTATTTTTTTTTCAAGTAATGTGTCATTCAAAACGTAGATAACAATTCCTAATTGATTAATTGACATACAGTTTGAAGTCAATAGTCTACAAAAACCTCATCGCATCTCATCTGCATTAAATATTTGAGTCATATTTGCAAAAATATATATATAAATATATATTTATTTTCATATAACAATCCACCCAGCATTGTCTAAAGTATTCTTTCACTCTTCAGCTTAAGATTATTGTATTAAAAGTGTAGACGTGAAAATTGCCCAACAGCCGGTACTGCGGGCTGAAGAGTCCTATTGTACCAACTTCAGCTTAAGATAGTTTAGACTTAGTTTGATGTGAGAAAAATCACTTCACAGATCTATTTTTTGAATTATTTATTGTTGTTTATAATACTTTAACATATGAATATAAGTAACATTATTAAGCTGTGATAATGCAATTTGAAAAATAATTAATTTTTAATTTGTTTTTCTTTTAACAAAATTTAATGATGTTTTGCTCAAAGTTTTATTTGCAACCGCATGATTTGGTTGTAGTGCAGGTGCAGTTCGGTCCGCAAGTACAACCTTTCTTTCCAGTATCTCCACCTTTTCCACATTTGCAATCTAAAAATATAAATTGCCATTTTTTTTGTTATTTTTTGTTATCAAATTAAACAAGAAATTTGTTTAGAAATTAATAAAATTACTAAACAATTTTATTTTTTTTCAACTTTCTTTAAATTACACTTTTCACCCGACTCACCAGTTCCACAAGGGCAAGGCATTTTGTTTTATTTTTTATATATATATTATTCTCTACTTAATAATTTCTTTATATCCGCACGATATCCAAGTAAGTCCGACTCCTCGCTATACTGAATAAAAGTATCTGAAGAAAGATACAGGCTCAATTTCTTTTATACTTAAAAATATACTCAAACTGGAAAGAGATTTAAGCTCTGTTTTTACGTAGTGTGAGTGAGTAGCTCTCTTTACTGCTAAATTTTACACTGGTTAACAAGATAATTTAAAACAATTATTACTTTGAATGGAATTTGTGTATTTAAATATTATGTATTTTGATATTTAACGAACACAACAGAATAACAAAAAAACAGTGTATATTATATATAAAAAATCTCTCCTTTTGAGGTAGAAGAAGGGGAATATAGAAAAAGATGTCTAAGGTAATTTGTTCGTAGCAAACAATAACCTTAGCGCGAAGAACAGAAAGCTGATCGACAAAGATGCCGATTCTACTATCCAAAAGCTACAAGTTGCTCAAAGTCAGGCTCTCCGAAGGCTCTGCAAAGTGCCATGGTACATCCGCACGAATGACATGGTAAGAGACATTAAAATAGATCCAGTCAAAAAATACATAAGGGACAGAGCTCTGAATTATATGCGAAAACCGACAGGCTGCCCTACTTAGCACTATCTAATCTCAGAGTAATCACTAACCGCACGGTGCGGTACGCAGATCTTAGATCAATTATTGAATAATAACGAAGATTATCAGGAATACTCAAATTAGTCAGTGAGATGGGTGGGACTCTGCAGAAACCCCCAGCCATCATAGAGTAAAAGTTCACAAATGCACTGACTCGGATAAGGCTCAACATAAGAGTTTGTAGAAGTAACGTAATTTGCACCTCTTGAAACGAAGGTTTTTTTTATTAACCATTTATTTGTTAAATATTTAAACATTTGAAATTGTAAATCATAGCAAATTTCCTAATAATTATATATCTAGTAATGATTCAATTATGAGAAGTTATCATTGTTAGTATTTATTAAGAGCAACCCCTCATTTGTATATTCGCTCTTATATTTTATTTTGTTACATAGAAGATTAGTTAGTATTTTTTTGTACAAGATCCAATATATAATAAGTATATGTTTTTCATCCTATAGGTATATATAAAAGGCTTCACTCGAAATGTAGTTCAATGTATTGATTTTACTCAAACTCTCTGTTAGAATATGCAGTAGTGCAAGACTATCTTAATTGCTTGACATTACAAATGACTTTCACAGCAATTCTTACAATTCTTTTAGTCATTTGTTTTTTTATATAATATAAAATTTAAAAGTTATGAAATTGTTCTATTATCATTAATTATAGGTGCTTAATGTAGTACGTATCCAGCAAATAGTATCTTTTTTGAGAGTCACACTATATTTAATGAAAAAATGGAACAGTTATTTCTCATTGAAGAGAGTTCGTAGAATAAATATTTTTAGATTTTAAATTGTAGCATACGAAGTTTCATACTTCTTCAAAAAATGAAATATCATTGAAAAAGAGGAATATAATATCTATTAATATTTATATTATATATATATATATATATATATATATATACTATATGTTTATAGTCAACAACAAAATGAGTAGATTATGATTATTAATTTAAATACATGATAAAGATACCACCAGACGCCCATCAAATCAATTAATTCGGTGATATTAGGATGAAAAATTATTTTGGATTACCTAACAGCTTAGGGTAATTTAGGGTATACTTAATATGGACTTTGTGGTAGAATGTTAATGTCATTCTATTCAGAAAACTGTAGGACTGATAAGTTGGTTAGGTAGACTAGCAATCATTATCCGAGCGCAAATGGAAGCAATATTGGATAATCTTTCTTCATCTGTAAAATATAGTTAATGCATAAGTGTGTTCAAAAGACCACACTTATGAACAGGATAATGTAACCAACACTTGATAAAAAAATCAAATAACTTTCTGAGCTAACAATAGAGGAAATCTTTATGGTCACAGTTTGTATAACCAGTCATCTGCTAATTCACGAGGTTGGAATACTTATTGCCATCTATAAAATATTGTTAAAGCATAGAATTCCAGAGATCAACAAATCTAGGACGAATGTGTGTAGCAAATGTACAAATATAGCTTATTTTTGATTGATTCAACTATCAAGAGAAGACATCTTTAATGTCATGGCTTGTATAACCTGGCCTTTATGGAAGTCATGGTTATAGGCTAGGAGTTCTTTTCAATAAATATTACAGAAGTGCTGAAGGTAAAGAGAAAGCAGAAATTGTGAAGCAGAAGTTATTCGGCTGTATCTGTAAGAAGGGGGAAATCGCCAAGCAAATACGTCTTTAACTTTTTTCAGAGGTTTTCAGTATTAAGATTAAATAGATTTCGTACTTTATAATTGCCTCAAAATGCCTCTATACGAAAAACAATGTTGAGTCCGCATCCAGGGTTGGTCCGGTGTTCAGTAGTATTATTACAATGGGCTCCGAATACCTGTAATTCTACTTAATTTTAATTAATTAAAATTAGTCTAATTTCCAAAATTAATTTCTTCTGTATATTCTTCTGTATGAATATTAAAAATTGTTGATTGATGTATTCTTTAAAACACATTTTTTTTAAATTTTATTTATTTAACTTTTTTTATTTTAATTACTTTTCAATTGAAATGATACTGCGTATAAAATCGTTTAAGTAAATAAACTTAAAAATAAGCCTTAAAGCTAGTCAGACGATGTTGGGTTCAAATTTCAGTCATTAAATTGACGTCGTTTGTAAATGTGAATCCGAATCAAAATTAATGAAATATGATGACGAATCTTAAACTATTGAACGATGAAAGCTAAAGTATCTTCATTTGCTTGCACTGGCGCATTTGCATGAAGCTCCACAACCACAATTGCTCTGCTTTTCAGAGGCGCATTTACAACCTGAAAATGAGAAAAAATCAAAAACGTAAATAAAAATTTTAACAAAAATTTATATAAAAATAGAACTGATAAAAATACATATATAAATAGTAGCATAACTACGTAATTCTTGATAACACCGATAGACCCATTAACAATAATTTACAGATAACTTCAGTTCTTATCAGTTCAACTTACCGGTTCCACATGGGCAAGGCATATTGATGACGTCTTTTGTTTATTGTTTATTGTTTATTGAAATCTTCTGGAAAAGCTTTCTCAGCTAAAGTTCTCTACTAATTTTAATAGTCGCGTTGAACTTTTGGGTTCTCACTGATCTATAATAAAAAATGTTTACAGTTTTATAAGCACAAAATTATGGAGACTTGATTTGAGAGATAAAAACTTTTGCACACGACCCTCGTTTAATTAATTCAGGGTATATTTGTGTGCAGAGTGCAAAACGGGTGGTGTGCAACATAGGATGATAGTAATTCTAATCTATATATGTATGTACATATCTATGTATATTCCTATTAATATTAATTAATCTATTAGTGGAAAAATACCTATGACAGAATAATTAAATGGATTTAAATTATTATTGATAAATTATAATTTAATTTCTTCTGAATTTGGTATACCTTTTTAATATTATATTATTTTAGTAAAAATAAAATGATTTTATTGAAGACTATCTCGGATCAGTTATGAAATATAATTACTAATAATGTAAATTTACTATATCCTGAAATATATTTTAGAGGTTTGGTTGAAAGTAAAGACTTATAATAGAATTTTTCCTTATTTTTGACCGTAACTATCAGGACAGAAATTGACATTATCTCCAATATGTATATGTGAAGTTATTTAGTAAAATGTATTCTAATTTTATGTCTTTTATGGATAAATGATAAAATCTAATTGAAAATATGAATAATAATTTTTTTTTAAATATTATTTTAATCATTTTTGCATTTCAATAGCAACCGAGAACATTGGTTAGGCATATTCTTAAGTTAAAATATTTTAATTGATGTTTGAAAAGATCCAATACATATTTTTTCAACTTTTAATATAACTTTCTTTGAATTATTTTTAAAATAAATTACAAACACATATCTACAAGTCTGATTTTTTATAATGTCATCAAAAATTAAGGTATCAAACCTTATCAGTGTAAATATAAACAATAAACCTCACAACAACAGAAAAGTAAACAATTTTGCACTCGACCCACGAAACTAACAATGCACCGAGTGCAAAAGGTTTGAAAACTCCAATTCAAACGTTTGTAGGTCTATAAAATAACTGACATATCTCCGAAACACATCAGTGCATATCAAGAAGTGCAATTCGAAGAAACTCCAAGAAGTTCTAAGAACATTTAAAGAAATATCAAAAACAATGCCTTGCCCATGTGGATCTGGTAAGGGATTTTCTATGAAATTATAATAAAATAAAATATGCATAAAATATTATATTATATTTTTTTATATTATATTTAATAATTATTTAATTTTCTTCTTCTTAGGTTGTAAATGCGCTACTGAGAAGCAAACCAACTGCGGTTGCGGTGACTCGTGCAAGTGCGCCACCAAGAAGTGAACAATATAATTCGAATTCATATTTAAGATGATTTTTTTATATAAATAAATAATTTGAAATTATTTCCTTATTTAATAATAAACAAATAAAGAAATTAAAATTAATTAATATACTATAAACTATATCTTATACGTTATAATATTCTGCGTTTGATAAAACTCAATTTTTACTGAATCCAATCACTCGAATAGAATCCGACAATCCCATTTAGGTTTTGCAATAAGGGATGGAAAATTAAAGAATAATGTTTTGATGCTTGAAATTATATTTAGACAATAATTAACTCTGACAAAACAGATGTTCACGTGTCTCTTTCTCAGATGGAAGCGAGCGTAATGCACTTAAATTGCAATCGGGGAAGTTCAGTAAAGCTCTATATCGTTCTTTATTTCAGTATCTCGGGCGAATGTCAAATTATGTTAGAGACTATTATATATTATTAATTGCTCTATTGTTTTATACATATAATTTGCTATTTAAAGAAATTTGTTACATTGCCTTATTAATTGTGTTAATGAGGAGAGGATAGACTCTTCTCCTTATGAAGAAAATGTATAGCAAATGGTAGTATATAATATCAATA